GAAAAAAGTTCATCCTCCAGCTTCACTGTTTGTGTTATGCTAACATAGCTGTTTATGCTAACATAGCTGTGTCGCTAGCAATCACGTAGCACATCGTTATATACCAGCTAGCCCAACTTCAGTAACCCTACAAACGTCACTGCTGTTTAGTTTCTGTCTTCATTTATGTTGATAGCAGAGCTGTACGCTTGAATTTTTGTTGTGGCGGATTTTTGGCTTCACAACTCTTCGTGGTCCGTGGACATCGAACCTCAGTTTGCTCTTCGTGGCATTTCAGAAACGAAATAACATCATGTGTGGCCTCGCTGGATCTGCTGTCCACCCGCTCTCTGCCGCCTTTGCAGTTTCAAGGCCCAGGGAAACGGATATAAAGGGAAACTTTATATTTTGCTTCCAAGGAGTCCGATTTCTGCCAGACTTTGCGTTTTTCTTTTTCAACACAGCGCTCGTGTGCTGGCTCATGCACTGCCCACCTCACGTTTGGGAGACTGTAACACCATGCTCTTTGCTCTCCTCAAAAACAAACGTCTCAGTTGGCTTCAAATGGTACAGATGGTACATCTACACAAATCTGCACCAATGACTGTTGCACCCATTCTCAGCTTCACTATCCACATTGTATTCAGTACAGTATCTTTGACTCTGACCTCCTTCAGCCTTAGACTCCTTCTCATGTCCTTTGCTCAGCTTCAGCTGCTCCTCACGTCAAACTGGACACGTCACGTGTTTGAGTCTTTCGCTGCGCTGCACCTTGACTTTGAAATTCATTACCACACCTTCAACAGCTCAACTCTGACAGAGTCAAATCTCAGCTCAAAACTTGACGGTTTTCATTTGCATGTCAACTCTAATCATCCTTAACTTTTCAGTATTCCTATCTTCTAAAACTGTTCTTGTTGTTTTGTGTTGTAGGGGCCAACAAATAAATATTATCGTTATTATAACGCTGACCTATCAGTCATTCAAGCCTTATAAAGGTACCCAGCTCAAGGGATGAACCAATAATGCAGCTACACTAAACACACAACTTGGTAACTTTGGGCACTTTATTAGCAGCCTGTCACAACAAGGAAACAAAGTAATAATAATGTGTTTAAGCTCAAATATAAGGCTCGAACCTGAGTCCATAATCATGACTCTTCATGTACTTCCTGTGTGACAGGTCAACACTCTGTAAATCAAACCTAACACTGACTGACATGAGCAGCAGCCTACCTTGGTCCACAGCGTCGAGGCCTTTCC